TTAGGGTAATGCACTGCGTCGGGTTAGGGTAATGCACTGCGTCGGGTTAGGGTTATGGTAATGCACTGCGCTGGGTTAGGGTAATGCACTGCGTTGGGTTAGGGTTATGGTAATGCACTGCGTTGGGTTAGGGTAATGCACTGCATTGGGTTAGGGTTATGGTAATAAACTGCGTTGGGTTAGGGTAATGCACTGCGTAGGGTTAGGGTAATGCACTGCGTTGGGTTAGGGTTATGGAAATGCACTGCGTTGGGTTAGGGAAATGCACTGCGTTGGGTTAGGGTTAGGGAAATGCACTGCGTTGGGTTAGGGAAATGCACTGCGTTGGGTTAGGGAAATGCACTGCATTGGGTTAGGGTTATGGTAATGGACTGCGTTGGGTTAGGGTTATGGTAATGGACTGCGTTGGGTTAGGGTAATGCACCGCGTTGGATTAGGGTTATGGTAATGCACTGCGTTGGGTTAGGGTTATGGTAATGGTCTGCGTTGGGTTAGGGTTATGGTAATGGACTGCGTTGGGTTAGGGTAATGCACTGCGTTGGGTTAGGGTTAGGGTAATGCACTGCGTTGGGTTAGGGTTATGGTAATGCACTGCGTTGGGTTAGGGTTAGGGTAATTCACTGCGTTGGGTAAGGGTAATGCACTGTGTTGGGTTAGGGTTATGGTAATGCACTGCGTTGGGTTAGGGTTATGGTAATGCACTGCGTTGGGTTAGGGTTATGGTAATGCACTGCGTTGGGTTAGGGTTAGGGTAATTCACTGCGTTGGGTTAGGGTAATGCACTGTGTTGGGTTAGGGTTATGGTAATGCACTGCGTTGGGTTAGGGTTATGGTAATGCACTGCGTTGGGTTAGGGTTAGGGTAATGCACTGCGTTGGTGCGCCATACCTTTTTATTTTGTGACCGTGTGTGTTGCTCAGAAGGGAAGATCAAAGTAGCACTTTTACGGTTAATGACTGACGTTAATATGAAAAGGTCATTAAGAAAACAGCCAATTGTTTCATGGACATTTTTTTCCCTTCTGCATACATCCCTTCTCAATTTGAAAGCAATCGTATAAGTAATTATCTACTTTTTCAAAACTATTGGTAATCTGATTACAATATTTTTGCTGGTAACATAACGGATTACAGTTATAGTTTTTTTGTAATCCATGACATGTAATCCGTTACTCCCCAACCCTGCTCTTCTATATCTGGCAGTATCAGATCCGTTCCTCCCCAACCCTGCTCTTCTATATCTGGCAGTATCAGATCCATTCTCCTCCCCAACCCTGCTCTTCTATATCTGGCAGTATCAGATCCGTTACTCCCCAACCTGCTCTTCTATATCTGGCAGTATCAGATCCGTTACTCCCCAACCCTGCTCTTCTATATCTGGCAGTATCAGATCCGTTACTCCCCAACCCTGCTTTTCTATATCCTGCAGTATCAGATCCGTTACTCCCCAACCCTGCTCTTCTATATCTGGCAGTATCAGATCCGTTACTCCCCAACCCTGCTCTTCTATATCTGGCAGTATCAGATCCGTTACTCCCCAACCCTGCTCTTCTATATCTGGCAGTATCAGATCCGTTACTCCCCAACCCTGCTCTTCTATATCTGGCAGTATCAGATCCGTCTCCTCCCCAAACCCTGCTCTTCTACATCTGGCAGGATCAGATCCGTTACTCCCCAACCTGCTCTTCTATATCTGGCAGTATCAGATCCGTTTACTCCCCAACCCTGCTCTTCTATATCTGGCAGTATCAGATCCTTACTCCCCAACCCTGCTCTTCTATATCTGGCAGTATCAGATCCGTTACTCCCCAACCCTGCTCTTCTATATCTGGCAGTATCAGATCCGTTACTCCCCAACCCTGCTCTTCTATATCTGGCAGTATCAGATCCGTTACTCCCCCAACCCTGCTCTTCTACATCTGGCCGTATCAGATCGTTACTCCCCAACCCTGCTCTTCTACATCTGGCAGTATCAGATCCGTTACTCCCCAACCCTGCTCTTCTACATCTGGCAGGATCAGATCCGTTACTCCCCAACCCTGCTCTTCTATATCTGGCAGGATCAGATCCGTTACTCCCCAACCCTGCTCTTCTATATCTGGCAGGATCAGATCCGTTACTCCCCAACCCTGCTCTTCTATATCTGGCAGTATCAGATCCGTTACTCCCCAACCCTGCTCTTCTATATCTGGCAGTATCAGATCCGTTCCTCCCCAACCCTGCTCTTCTATATCTGGCAGTATCAGATCCGTTACTCCCCAACCCTGCTCTTCTATATCTGGCAGTATCAGATCCGTTACTCCCCAACCCTGCTCTTCTATATCTGGCAGTATCAGATCCGTTACTCCCCAACCCTGCTCTTCTATATCTGGCAGTATCAGATCCGTTACTCCCCAACCCTGCTCTTCTATATCTGGCAGGATCAGATCCGTTACTCCCCAACCCTGCTCTTCTATATCTGGCAGTATCAGATCCGTTCCTCCCCAACCCTGCTCTTCTATATCTGGCAGGATCAGATCCGTTCCTCCCCAACCCTGCTCTTCTATATCTGGCAGTATCAGATCCGTTACTCCCCAACCCTGCTCTTCTATATCTGGCAGTATCAGATCCGTTACTCCCCAACCCTGCTCTTCTATATCTGGCAGGATCAGATCCGTTACTCCCCAACCCTGCTCTTCTATATCTGGCAGGATCAGATCCGTCTCCAACCTCTTTCATATCTGGCGTATAGTCAGTTACTCCCCAACCCTGCTCTTCTATATCTGGCGTATCGATCCGTTCCTCCCCAACCCTGCTTTCTATATCGGCAATCAGATCCCTTCCTTTTCCGCCTCCCCAACCCTGCTTTCTAATCTGGCAGATAGATCCTTTTCCCCCCCAACCCTGCTCTTCATATCTGGGAGTT